GACTGTTACTTTATTTCATTTTTCCCATCCCAAGTATTTTGGGAGATTGCGTTGTCTAGTCGGGTATCTCATTCTGGTGCCATGGGCGATCGTGGTGTCCCGGGGGATAACATTGGTACAGGAGAAATGTTCTCTTCATCCTCAGAGTTGGCAGTATCTCGATCGCTGACGCGGTGATTAATTTCAACTTCAGGTATTAATTTGAAGAATGACGAATTGCGCGTAATATTGTGCGCACCGCGTTTAGCTTTTATCATACTTCCTTTCTGTACTGTGACCTCATATGGCTTAGCGAGAAACGGCGTTTCCAGTTTTCCTCTTTTTGTGTTTTTAACGAGAACGGAATCACCGACTCTTATTTCCGACTTTTTCGCATTTCGGCTCTTATCTGCGTATTTCTTCATCTTTTGTTTTGAAGTTTTATCCCGAAGTTGTATTTTCCCCCGCTTCTTAGAAGTATTGAAATTCGGCAACTTTATGTTTATTGGACGTTGAAATACCTCTGTAGCTGGGCATATACCAGTAGTGCTGTGTGGTGTCGCACGATAATTTCTCAGAAATGTGTACATTTCGTGTTTCCACGACTTCCCTTCAACTTGCGCTGTGCGGATGGCTTTTCCTAGCGTTCTCATCATTTGTTCCGCCTCTCCGTTTGCCTGTGGCCATAGGGGAGTAACTTTACGGTGTTTAAAACCAAGATGTCTTGCAAAGTCTCTAAACTCGTGGCCCTGGAACGGCGGTCCATTGTCTGATGTTGCGATTTCAGGGATACCATATTCCGAGAATACTTTGTCGAGTATCGGAATTACGATTCGCGATGAAGTAGATCGTATTATTTCAACAACAACAAATCTGGAATAGTTATCTATTATCACGAGTAAATAATCTCCGCTGGGGAACGGCCCACAGAAGTCCATCGACACGTGTTGCCATGCGTAGTTAGGAAGTGATGTCATTTGTAACGGTTCGCGCCTATTTTGTTGTGTGGCAGCTTGACAGGCTAAACAGGTTTTGATTTTATTTTCCACCAGCTTGTCAATGTTGGGAAAATAAACTTTTTCTCTCAGTAATCTTTTCGTTTTGACTACACCCTGATGTCCTTCGTGGGCAAGACTAACTGTCCGCTCTTGTAACGATTTCGGATGATAATTTCGTGATCCGCGTAAAATAGATCTTGAGTTGACACCAGTGTTAGAGATTCTCTTTTCTTTTCGCAGCATTTCGAAAAGAAAATTCGGTCGATGTCTGTAGAATCGATGTCTGAAGAATTCGTGTGGTCGTACCATCTACCAGTTTTAATCGCCATGGTTACGGCTTGCAGTGTAGGATCAGATTTCGTTTCTTCTTTGATTTCATCCAAGGTTAGCGCCGTGGGTGCTGCATGACCAGCGATAAAGTTGATATATTCTTCAGTGACTTTCTCTTGTCTCCTGTTTGGCGTGCTTTTCGTGTTCAGGTGTCTCGACATGTAATCAGCTGGATTGTCTTTTCCCGGCCTATACACGATCTTGAATAAATAGTCTTGTAGCCGTAGAGCCCATCTCTTGATTCTGGCTGGTGGTTTAGCATTTGGGTTGTTGTAGAGACGCTCTAGCGGGTTGTGATCGGTTACTATGGTTACAGGTTTGCCATATACGTATAAATGATAATGCTCACAAGCCCATACAACAGCTAACGCCTCGCGTTCTGTCTGAGAATATCTCTGTTCGACTGGAGTAAGTGATCTGCTCGCGTAACACAGAACTCGTGGTGCGTCTTCATCACCATTTTTCTGAGTGAGCATTGCTCTTCGACCAACAGGGCTTGCGTCTACTACGATTTCAGTGTCTTTATTCGGATCAAAGTATGCCATGAATGAATTACATGTTAATTGATCTTTGATCGTGTTGAGCACATTACGATGAGTACTCGACCATTCCCATACCGCGTCTTTTATGGTTAATAATCGAAGGGGTTGCGTAATAGTCGCTAGGTCGGGTATAAATCGTGAGAAATATGTTACCATACCGAGTAAACTTCTCACCTCAGTTGCGTTTGTTGGGGCTTCGGCATTCTTGACAGCCGCGACTTTATCTGGGTCTGGTGACATACCTTCCACTGAAAATCGATGACCGTAAAATATGAGATTTGATTTGTTGAATTCACATTTTCGTTTGTTTAGAGTAAGTTTTCTTTCGCGTAGTCGTTGGAATACAGCTTTCAGACTGTTTTGATGGTCTTCCTGCGTTTTGCCGTGTATGAGTATATCATCGCTAATGTTCTTTGCGCCTGGTATACCCTCGATTGATTGTCTAATAGCGTTTTGGAATATTTCTGATGCCGATGATATTCCAAAATTGAGTCGCTTATAACGGCGTAGACCAACGTGTGTACTAAACGTAGTAATGTACCTCGATGCCGGTGTTAGCTCGAGTTGATGATAGCCTTGATTCAGATCAAGTTTGGAAAACACTATGGAGTTGTTCAGATCTTGAATGATTTCATCAGTCGTCGGCATGATGTGTCGCTCGCGTTTGACGGCTTCATTCGCGCGTCTCATGTCAATACATATCCGTATATCGTCTGGATTCTTTGGTTTAGGAACAAAAAGAATTGGCGATATCCATGGTGTTGCTTCGTCGATCTTTTCGATTATGTCGGCAGCTTCCATTTCTTGCAATTTTCTTTTTGACTTTTTCGCGAATATGAAACGGAATGCGACGATGCGGTTGGGCTACGGGCTGAACAGTCTCGTCTATGTGTAGCTTTACTTAAAAATCTGTCATTTTGCCTAGGCCTGTGAATAAATCATTGTATTCGCTTACTAGCTTGTCTGTTGCGATCTGTCCCCCAACTTGTTTAATTATTTGTACGAGTCCCAAATCTTCTGCTGTCTGAAAACTTAGTAGCGATTCCCCGAAATGACTATTGCGCTTGACGACATGAATTAATATATTCGATAGCGATTTTCTTCCATTATTCGTTTTACATTTGATGTCTGTCCGGAATTCGCCTAGGGTTTCGATTGGATATTGACTCTTGTATGGACATACTTTTGTATAAGTCCGTCTCAACTTGACTTTCCCGTTAAGCTTTTCAAAGTCACTTTCATCCATTATGTTGATCGCTGCACCAGTATCAATCAAGAATTTAATTTCCTTGCCATGAATTGTGATGTCAGCTGTTGGAAACTTTGCCTTGGTTGCGTGAATAGTTTCCGTGCGTACACCGAATACGTATGTCGCTTGGTCGGTGTATTGGCTGGACTCACTACTCAAATATGTGTCAGCGTCAACTCGTCTTATAGATCGTTTTGGTTTGCAGTCTCTTTCCTTTTTGGTTTGGATCTGCAAACTTTGGCAAAATGTCCATCTTTCCCGCATGATTTACATTTCTTGCCTTTTGCCGGGCACGGTCTGCCATGAGGATAATTGCCACTACAAAAGTAGCATAATCGAGAGGTTGATCGCGATTCATTGACGGCCACCCGTTTTGGTTTTCCACGTTTATTATGTTTAGACTTGAAGCCTCGGCTAATTGCGTTGATTGTTGACGCATGCAGGTTGCCCTCGATGTCCGCAGCCTGAGACTCAGAGACTTCCATCGCTCTGGCAAAGTTTAACAAGTCTTCTAGCTTCATGTCTTCTCTCAATGCTCGCCGTCTTAATCTCTGCGACGTACAGTGTTCAATGATTTGTGTGCAAACTTCCTCATCAGGGTTGGCATAATTGCAGTTTGCCACAAGAAGTTGTAACCGGGCGTGGTACTGATCCGTCGACTCACCATCTTTTTGCTTTGCATGTTTTTCGTACGCTTTCGTTCGTTTTGGAGCAAAACTTTTGTTGAGAGCTTCGATGAGTTTCTTGACATCGTCTTCTTCGCCCGTGTCTGGGAGTGCTTTGATTTCACGTCATACTTCTTTCCCCGCGTAGTGGATAAGTAGAGCTCGTTGTCTCTTAGTGCTCGTGATGTCACACGCGATCATCAGGATTTGAAATCCTTCCAACCATTCCTCCCACCTTTTTCCACAGGTGCTAGGTTCCTCATGCACTTGGAATGGTTCATAATGAGGGATGCTTTCGGACGCCATGAGTTCCTGAATCCGTCGTCGCCAATG